ATAGACTATTAGATGCACAAGGATTCTGTGTGCGTCATCATGTCGTTTATGGAAATGTATCAGAGCTCCAAAGTGTGCTAATCCAATATTGTGCTCGTCTCTTAGATATAATAGGGCCGGTGACTGCGCTACCTACTCTGACCTCAGATGTTTAATCTCATTTCCATTGTGGTTATCTATGTTTACTCTCACATTATCATTTCCGATGTAACATCTCCGTAGCACAGAGATAAAATCCCACCTGCTGTAGACAGAGCAGCATTTTAAACTCAATGTCAATAGTTCCATTGTTATTCTTTAGGTGTGTGTCTGTGTGTGAACGGGTATTCATTCTTGTTAATAAGGCACAGACAATTTAAACAAAAGGATGTTGGCACAGTGTTTATTGTGTTATAATACAGGAAGTAATCCAACAGTAGAGATTATTAGGATTTAGGAGTTCTCTTTTTTTTCGATCGTAATTTAGACAAATATGTGAAGGTTTACCAGTGTAGTCAATGTGAGACAAAGTAGAAACAGACCCACAATGCTACAACAAGAGACTCCCTAAATGCTTGTTATTTCACCCCGATGGGCACGTTACTGCAATGTGTATGTATATGCATATTTGAAATGTTTTAAAGAAACTGTGCATGACTCTTTTCACATTATTTATTCCTTTGAGTTCAGAGATTCAACTCAGACATTCAGACACAGAATGTGTTAAACTGTAATACTTTTCAAACTTGAGTCTCGAGAGTTGTGATACTATCTGTATAATACAGAATCAGTTTTTCCATGTCATTAAGGTCTGACCTTATACTTGGTGACTGGTAATGCATTGCGGTTGAATGTGCATGCACTACTGTATAACGATACAGTAGTGCATGCACATTCAACCGCATTGCATGCACATTCAACCGCAATGCATTACCAGTCACCAAGTATAAGGTCAGACCTTAGCAACTGCAGCAGTTTCCAGCATGAGCAGTAAAGCAAGTGAGAAAAATTGTGTATTCATGACCATTCAGATTTTACAGGCTTACCTGATTTGATCATTCATTTTTTGCACATTACTAGGGCAAAGGGATCAGTGACAAAAAAAACTGATGCTAACTCAGTAGCATGCTCTGCAGAGTGTTGGTGATGCTTGGGAGAAATATGGCAACTTCCCCAGGGAACAAGTATTGGGTAAGTTAGTTAGTATGTGGTGGTGCACATGTAAGAAATATTATGGTCATCAAATGGCTGTGATAAGTTGTTGTTACCACCACTCTGATGCTTTAGAAGGGGCAAACTGAACCCACCAGTAGGCATAATCCAACGTTATGAATGGATGACAGACTGGCTAGGTTTAGGCACCCTATCTACCAGTTTAATTGTAGGTAGAAGATCATGGTTTGGGTTGTATAAGTATTCCTATGTTTATCACGTACTGTATGTTACGTTTCTTTGCTTACGTATGCTACTTTAGTTACTCAACACTGACTTTTGGTTTCACACGGGTCGCAGACTCAGGCCTCAAACTGTTCTGTCATTGTTTGACTCGTCCATTGACGCCTCCCATCCCCCTTAGCAGACTTGATCTGTCTTTGAACTATGTCACCAAACTTCTCGTAATTGCCTCACCTTCTCGTAATTGCCTCACCTCCTTCATGATCGTTGAACGACCATGTGAACTGATGATATCTGTGTTAGAGGAGCCCTGCTCTGCATCAGTTTATATGGTGCATACTCCCAACTCAATATTTCTTAAACAAATCACCACAACAGAAGGTAATTTTGGCCTAAATCTAATAGATTTATGCTGGAGGGCCCCCTGGTGGGTTAATCTGACCATGGTGCAACTGCTGCCTTCTCATAGTGGCAGCACTTATTGTTTGAATAATGTTCAACCTGATTGGCTGAGAATGCACATTTTTCAGTGAGTGGATTCATAAAGATAGGTTGTTAAATCTGTGATGCATCCACAGGGCATTGTTCAGCCTGTATCAGTGAACACGGGCAGTAAGTGTTCTGTTCTCTCATTGTATGTCCACGAGATGGCAGTATAACCCAGTTTTACTTTTCAGAATCTTCTTCCAGAGATAATATTTTGACTTCTTCATCTCAAGAGAAAAAAAGCATTTTGATGCAGATAAAAGTATACCACAGGGGAAAGTTATGTTTCTGTATCTGGTACAATACAGCACTCGTGCCATTGTGGCAGAACAACCTCAAAGGGTTGGATTAACAGTTTAAAATATCTATTTGATAAATGATTGCTAAGTAATTGAATACAGTCATATGTAAGGGATGGATGGAGAGAACTAGCTTTAAAATTTGGCAGTAGAAACAATCTCTTAGAACTGTTTGTCTCAAATTGAATCGAGGCTAATATTAAGGATGGTACATTTGATTCCTCCCCACTTCAAAGAACAAGCAGAGCATGAAAGAGAAGAAAATGACTTATTATCTGATGAAATTAGTTCATTATTTAGTATATTTGGATCTTGTTTTTTTTAATCTATTAACTTGTTATCGTAGTAATGCACTCGCACTGTTGAACCTCATACATTATGCAACTGAGTATGTGGTAAAGTGGGTGGTGAGGTGTGAAGCATTAAAAAAAGATTCATTTTTCTCTACAAGAATTTGAGCCTGCATTGTGAGGTTGCAAATACTGCCACTCTGTTTATTTAAAGCTGCTGTGTGGAAGTACCGTTACGGTAACGGTACGTCCAGAGCCCTATGAGTTACGACACTCCCATAGACCTCCGTTGTAAAAAATGGCGGCGCCTACTTCCGGGGTAAGGACATCGAAATAGTTCAAAAATATTGTCATTTGGGCGTTGGACCTCATTCACTTACATTACGGCGCGTTGATTAGTTCCAGAGGTAAGTTGCTGAAATATCGAACTCTTTTGAATTGTCAACTGTCTATATTGTATCAGAGGCCCTTTATGATGCTTATACTGGTCTTCATTTGTATATGCACAGCGTAATTATCTATATTTTATCTTGGTTGTTACAACCAATTTTGCTAGCATTGCCTGCTAGTTAGCTAGCGCGACTTCGTCAGCTTTGAAGGTAAGATTTCAGTAATGAATCGCTAGCAGCTTATATATCAATGATGCTGGGTAACTAACAAGCAGGATTTAGATTGATTATGTGTTTTTATTGTTATTTTGGTTTTTATCTGCTGAACCTGACCGTGTCAGCCATCCTTAGTCGGCTTTTTCTGTATGATATGACTTAACTGCTAGCACTAGTAGAAATGAGGTGGCGTTTGTGATAAATATTTCATTTAATATTTCATTGAATTTTGGGAAATACTAACATTTCATTATGTGACATGTTGACTGTACTTAGTTTTTTTTTTTTACTGTTCCGTGTTAACTCATCTGTACTGTACAACTAGCCTAGCGCTACTTTTTAATGCTTGATGGCATGCTAGGATAGATTCCCGTCTCTCTGCCAATCATAGAGCTGCACCGTGATGGTGGCTGAGGTGCGGGCCTGTGGTTGGTGGAGCGGACGGGGGAGGGCGGGGAGTTGTGACGTAGACAGTGCTATATATATATATATGGGTATGGTAGAAGTTAGTGTGAGTGGAGTGTGCGGTAAAATCCACGAAGTGTACTTGACCTGTTATCATCTGTCTTCAAATACTAGTTATTAAAGCCTAATAACTACAAGCCTGTCTCCGACTCATCTTGGGAACGTTACATTGGTGTCAGAAGTGAACTTTTCGAACAAGGGACGTCTATCCGGACGAGAGTCCTAACTGCGTCACGGAGCTAGTAAGTACCACCGGCTGTGAGGAGCTGCAGAGTGGAGGAGAAGCCTGTATGGGTTACCGAAATGACTGAAAGTGTTAAAGTTGTATTAGAGGAGAAAATGAGGGAGATGGAAGCAGCTGTCAATGCAGAGAGGGAACTGCGGCAGCAACAGGAGGCTAGACTCAAAGCGGAGCTGGCCTCTCTTGAGCGAGATCTCCAGGAGAGTAAAGAGAAGGAGAGCCTTGTGGCCTCTCTGGAGAAGTGCCTCCAAGAGGGCAAACAGAGAGAAAGGAGCCTGGTGGAGGAGGGTGCCAAGAGGGAGGCGCAGTTCAAAGAGCTGCTCAGGAGCCTGGAAGCCGAGAAGGACAACCTGGAGGAGCATCTGACGAACCAGCTGTCCCAGCTCAATGGCAGCATCGCAGACTACCAGCAGGAGGCGGCGGACAACCGGGAGCACTTGGCCGAGCTGCAGCGGGAGGTGGAGCGGTTGGCGAGGGAGCGGGCCGAGTTGGAGGCTGAGGCGCAGAGCGAGAGCGACCGGGCCGCCAGGCTGGAGGAGGACATGAGGCAAGCACAGAGAGAGAGCAGAAGCAGAGTCTGGTAAGCAGGAGGAGCTGCTGAGGGAGAAGCAGCTGCAGAGGGACTGCATCAAGTACCAGGAGAGGATCAGCGAGATGGGTAGAGACGCTAAGGCGCTGCAGCAAGGTTACAACGAGCTCCAGAATAAGCTAAGACAATCCCAGCTGGAGACTTTGAAAACTCTAGAAGACCTGAAAAGGACAGAAGCAGAGTTGGATACCTGTAAACCTCAGCTGGATGAGTCCCAGAAGCAGGCAAGCGTAGCTATAGCGGAGAGGAGTACCATGGAGCAGAACGCCCAACACAGAGAGGCCTCGATGAAGGCAGAGGTGGAGCAGACCCTGGACTCTGTGAGGTTCAGACTCGGAGGCGAACTGAAGGAGATGGAGCTGAGACTGGACGAGGTGGACAGAAGCGGAACTATGACACCAGGACAAGAGGGCAGCATTTCCGGGCCGGGGAGCTGGTCTGGGTCTACAGCCCACAACGGAAGAAAGGCCGGTGCCCAAAACTGGACAGTCAGTGGGTTGGTCCCTGCAGAGTACTGGAGAGGGTGGGGGTAGTGTTTGTGCTGAGTTTTATTTGTTCCTCGTGGGCGAGGAACTTTGTAGTGGGGGGGTAGTGTAGCGATCCTGATAGGCTACTCAGGGTGTCACTTAGGCATCCCCCGTCTCTCTGCCAATCATAGAGCTAAACCGTGATGGTGGCTGAGGTGCGGGCCTGTGGTTGGTGGAGCGGACGGGGGAGGGCGGGGAGTTGTGACGTAGACAGTGCTATATATATGGGTATGGTAGAAGTTAGTGTTAGTGTGAGTGGAGTGTACGGTAGAACGCACGAAGTGTACTTGACCTGTTATCATCTGTCTTCAAATACTAGTTATTAAAGCCTAATAACTACAAGCCTGTCTCCGACTCATCTTGGGAACGTTACAGTATTGTAATATACACACTAGTTTAATGATTGTTCTTCAAAGGTATTATTCAGTCTTAAAAAAATAATAGCCTACTGAATAGGATACTCTACAGCAGTGAATGAAGGATGAGCCTAAAACATGGTCATGCATCCAAAATGTTTATTTTTAACAAAATAAACACTTTTTTTTTTTTAAATTAGCACTTTTTTAAATTAAGCCTCATATGTCAGCCATGGCTGTTGCTGCTGGCGGAGGCTGTTGCTGCTGAAGGAGGGTGCTGCTGCTGGAGGGTGCTGCTGCTGAAGGAGGCTGGTGCTGGCAACGGCTGCAGGTGATGACTGCTGAAAGAAGAGGAGGCTGGAGGCTGCTGACGGTGGACCAGGAATGGAGATGCCAAGTACATCGATGGCAACGAGTAAGGTGTTTGGCAGTGGCCTAGATGTTATGACCTTCGGTACAGAGGTCTGTTGGGTCTTCTTTGCCTTCTTACTCTGACTCTTGCTGCCAAGATACCCTTTATGTTTATCCTTCCTCTCAGCCCTGATGCACTTTGATGCAATCCTTAACCTCAGCCTGATGTATGTTGAGAGGATTTTTTTCTTCAGGTCATGGCATGAGGGAAGGTTGCTGTCCAGCAACATGGCTTCTTGTTCCAGCTGTATTTGAGGACTCCAATCGCTCATCCTCACACGGAACAGCTGCTCCACGTTCTGAACAAGGGTGAAAACCTCATCAGATGGATGGTAATCTGGCTCTAATTTGGTCTGTGTTGAAGATTTTTTTAAACTTTAGATTAATCAAATTGTGTTTTTTTAAAATGCCGAATTAATCCTTTTCTGGTTTACCAGAGCCCTCTCTGCTCTCTTTCTTAGTAATCTCTCCCTTCTCAGTTGCCTCATTAGATCCTCCACGTGAGCCCGGTCACAACTGGCCCTTGGCAGTCTGGTCCCTAGAGCACCTGACCCTGGCAAACTGGCCTCTTCATAGCTGACCCCTGACTGACTGGCTCCTGGCACACTGATCTCTGGTAAGGTGGCCTCTTGATTGTCGGCCCCTGACATATTGGCCCCTGGCAGTCTGCTGACATCTGTCTCACTCTCTCTCTGTCTGTTATGTCCCTTTCATTCCCTTGGAACTCCACCTAAATATCTCCCTGAATCTCTGTAACAATAACAAGGCAATCTTGCTGTTATATGTGTATGCTGCCTTTACATGTGCACCTATTGTCATTTAAGGGTACACTACACTCCTATAGTGACATTCATCTAAGTTGGTCTATTGGCAATGTTAAAGTATGAAGAAATCTGTAGATTATCTACATCAGGGGTGCCCAACCAGTCGATCGCGATCGACCGGTCGATCGCGGGGAGATTCCCAGTCGATCGCGAGATGTGTCTAAAAATAGAACAACAATATTCAGTTTTATCGTTAATGTCCTATAACATAATCTTCCTGTGCCAGAATAATGCACTTGAACGCATCAAAGCTTTGTGATTGGCCGGCATGACCCCATGTGTCGGGGCGTGGCTAGTGGGCAGTGGGCACTATTTCGCTGACGTTGTCCGTGTCAACAGGTGTGACAGTCCGCACACAAACAAGACCGCAATTATGGCAGAAGCAAAACATATAATTGTCACTCCGAGTGGGAGGTTTGATTATTTTTGTATTTATTCCAATTCAAAGTCCATCTGTCTCATCTGCAATGCGAGCGTGGCTTTATCGAAGAAGGGTAATTTCGGAGCAGCATTTCAAGACAGTGCACAAACGCTACGAGACGGAATTCCCTCCTAATTCTGCCCTACGCTCCAAAAGGGGAGGGGCCTGAAAGCACAGCTAAATGCACAGCAGTCCATTTTCACCAGGCCCAACAACAAGAGCAAGGCTGCTACCATAGCATCTTATCGTGTCAGTCACGTTCTTGCGAAACACATGAAGTCTTTCAAAGACGGCGAAGTTGTGAAAGAAGCATTCCTGGAGGCTGCGACGCGCTTTTGGGGGACAGTAAAATAACAGTAGCATTTCAACAGGTTTTTGATAAAAACTCCAGTTAGATACCGTTATTAATCAGCTGTACGTTTTAGTTTGTTTGAACTTATTCATTATAATTATTGTACAAAATGGTATAAGAATGCAAACTTAAATTGATTATAGTCTATTATCAATTCAGGTTAAGAAACTAGTGTTGCTTGCATCCTATTTTAAAAGGCATTTATTTTTATAATCTACTAAAATGCAACAAAAAACTGGTTTGATTTTATTAATTTTGTCTTTTTTATTGCACATTGGCAGCAGATTCCTGAGTAGCTTCAGATCTGAGTTTTCTTATTAGTAAGCCTAATTTATACTTTTGTAGCAACACTATTTTTATATAATGACAAAGAAAGGGTTCAGTGTCTTTTCTTTTTTCCTGTGTCATATGTGGCAGCACTGTTCAATGTTTCTTGAAAACATTACCCACTGTAGTGACGTGTGAATAAACTCCAACTCCGTATCAACAACACTGTTGTGTAACTTCAGTTAAATACTTGTATGTGTGTAGATTAGAAAGAGGTAAGATAAAGGATCTGCAGTATTTTATGAAGTATTAATCGTACGAAGGTCAGTTTTATACAAGTAGAAGTGTGTATTTACCTGGCAGTAGGCTGTCAGTAATGGCTACGCCTCTCTATTTGGACTGGTAGATCTCGGCAGACTGGCAACTTTAAAAGTAGCTCTCGGTTCAAAAAAGGTTGGGCACCCCTGATCTACATGGTATATGAGTCTTCAGAGAATCCCTGAACCCTGGTAGTTTCGAAGCTGTATAATCTGAAGGTTGCATTAGGAGTGTAGTCTATCCTTGAATTATATAACATGGGAAACATTGTTAGCTTCATATATCATACCAATGTTTGATGTGCCATAATAGGTGTGGTCATCATTCCTGACATTAACAGCTGGAGGCATACTCCTTGACGTGGATTAACTCCTTTTCGGCTTAGCCGATGTATAAATACTGTTGGAACAGCATCTGGCGTCAACCTCAAATTTCCTCCTGATTTGTTGCCAATATATTGGTCGTCTTCAAAGTGTACCTGTAGGTAGGTTTGATCAGTTTCCACTGCACACTTCAAATGTCATTGAAGAGTCATAATTCTCTACACTTGGAAATATGATGCCCTTTAAAATGTTAACAAGTCATGTCACCTCTGTGAACATTACTTACATGACAGAGTTTTCTGTTGTTGTTGTTGTCCTCTGTCAGACACAGGTTTTGTCTGTTGACCATTGCCATCCATCTCTTCCTTCGCTCTACGTCCTTAGGGAAGCCATACATCCGGAACCCCTTCTCGGATCGATTAGAGCATCCAAATGCTGCACATCCAACCATGGTATGACAACTGATCTATTAAAATGCAATATAAATGAAAGTGCCATAATATTTGTTGTGCAAACATTTTAACATGAATATTGCTATGTCCTCTGTTCAGTCTGCTCCCAACTGTATTCTCTCCCCTTATTCACCACTGTTCCTATTCTTGCTCTGCTTTTTAGGGCCCAGGAAACAGATGAAGAGGATGTCCCTTTCACAAAGGAACCTTTTTGTTTGTTTCAAAATGGTTAGGCTCCTGGATGCCTAGAGTTCTGTATTGCTTTTTTGTAAATAGTATTGCTTTTTTGTAAATAGTTGCTTACCCTAACCCTTTTTTGTAAATGTGACCTGCTCCATCGAAATCAGTCGCATTGACCCGAAGACACATTTTAAGTTGTATACACTGTTGGAAAGAGGATATTCCTAGCTTTCTAATGATATCAAGATTGTTTTTGTACTCCAAATATTAAGCGAAATATGTCACATTATATAATGACTGTCACCGAGTCATCATTTTGAGGAAAAGGCCTTCAAAGTTTCCTCTTCTCTGGAATCCATCGATCTGATTGATTATTAGCAAATGATCAAAATACTACGGAGGTAGGTGTGTGTGTGTGTGTGTGTGTGTGTGTGTGTGTGTGTGTGTGTGTGTGTGTGTGTGTGTGTGTGTGTGTGTGTGTGTGTGTGTGTGTGTGTGTGTGTGTGTGTGTGTGTGTGTGTGTGTGTGTGTGTGTGTGTGTGTGTGTGTGTGTGTGTGTGTGTGTGTGTGTGTGTGTGTGTGTGTGTGTGTGTGTGTGAAAACCCTCACGAGAAACACCGGCTGTTGTTATGCCTGCTGGGACGTTAAGTTACTCCGTTCTCTGCTTGTAATTATGCCGAAGCTTCAAAGTTGTATTTATCATCTGAATTTGCCGAAACAAGTTTAATATTCTGAAAGCCAAGACTTTGTTTATTTGAAATCAGATGAAAACAAACTGTAACGGACCCTGCCGTGTTATCTATGATTACTATACTCTTACATTCATAATTTCAGCCGGAGGGAGGGGGGCGGCGCTGCGGAAGAGCAGATTGCGAGGGAGAGGTGCCTGTCATCGTCCCTTTACAAGCTTCAAAAATGTATTTATTGTGTGATTTTGGAAATAAAAGTTTCATATTCTGAAAGCCAAGACTTTGTTTGTTTAAAATCAAACAAAACACCCGAACCCCGAAAAAATAGTTTTTTACGTAAATCCACGTTTATTTTCAAATGAGCCGTTGCGACTTCCGACTGATTTCGATAAAGCGGGTCACAAATAGTAACAAATAGTATTGCTTTTTTATAAATAGTTGTTTGTAAATATTTGTAAAATGCCCCCCCCCCCCCCACCCCCCCCCCCCACAATTGTTGTTCGCACAATTATGCTTCTGTTTTTCACTTTTTGGTGTCCATTGTTCAGCCACTGTGGGTAAGCAACAATTTGTTTTGGCCAAAATGTGTTATTCACACTCCTGACTCCAGTTTGATGTGCTGCATTATCCTCTGAGTGGTCCTGATTTCAGGCAGAGGTCATGGCTTAGAAGGTTTTATATCCTGTAGTGCCTCAACAGAACCTAATATGAATTGCTTTTTTCAGTTTCTCTTTTTTTTTTTTTGTCTCGTCGCTGGATCACCTCCCCCTGGCAAAGTGGCCTCGTCATTGACAACCCTGTTTTTGTTGCTCTGTTGAACCATGGTTCAACAGGAGCTTCTGTAAATAGTTTTGTAAATAGTTTGAATATTTATCATAGTAATCATTTTCAGTCTCCCACTCTCTCAATTTAATTTATCGTTTCTTTGCCCCACCAGATGTTTTGTTGTCCAAGGGCACTAATTTGGTCTGTGTTGAAGATTGTTTTACACTTTAGATTAATCAAAATTGTGTTTTTTGGCTGAATTAATCTTTTTCTGTTGAACCCTAACCCTCTTTGTTCTCCTTCTCATTCATTTTACTTTGTTTTGTTCTAACACACATCACTTTTTCCATACACTGTTCTTAATACTTGTTCACACATGTGTTCGTCCCTTTTACTTTGTTCTTCCTGTTGTTCTTGTTCAAACACATATATCAATTGTTCATCCACTGTTGTGGTAAAATGATATTCATAGTCTTAACATGATCATGCTACCCATGCTAACATGAACACAAGGGTTTCCCTCCGAAAATGTAAAACGTATCTAAGTAATAGGCTACCAAGCTTTCCGTTGTCACCCTGCCTCTCCAAATGCAAAACTGTCAATAAAAAGCATGCAATAATGCAATTACAGCTGAAAAAGTACTTGGGTGTGTGTTTTTTTTATATATATATACCATTCAATAACGCAATCGCTGCTGTCTCTGTCCCATAGAATAACATGACAGCGCAGCGCAACTATACTACGGACGTGACCAGGGGCGGACTGGGGGGAAAAAGTGGCCCGGGGATTAATTGACAGACAGGCCCACTTAATGCGCGGCATGTATCGGCCGGCCGGCGACGAAAGTATGTTACTTAACAAAAAACCCTATGTATTTTATGTTATTTTGGACCATTATTCATATAGTCATCACATTACCTGAGCCCTTGAGTTGCCTAGAGCAAAATAGTTACAGCATATATTTAGTGATTTTAATGTTAACAGATCATTGATGCAATAACATTTGGACCCAATTTGCCTGACTTGATGCATGGAATAAAACATGGGCGTAGGAAGCATCCTCAATGTGGGTGAGACAATTTGACAGGGGGTATGGGCAGGTGGTGGACCTCACCTCCTCTAGGGGGGGTCCGGGGGCATGCTCCCCCGGGAAGATTTGTTTTAAAATGTTGAAGTTAAATGCATCAATCTGGTGCATTTTGAGAGCAAAATTAGGGACTAAATCTATGGATACATCTCTCAACACCAATATGAAACAGAACTGTAAACAGATTTACTTTTTCTTTCAACATTTATTTGAACAGCAAGTGGAGGCAAAAGTGACTGCATCCAGAACAATAAACCTGCTCGCTAACTAGCCTAAACTCAGTAACAGAATGTGGGTTCTGAATGAACGTTCTTCTCCACAGCCGTGCGACCTCTGAGTCAGACGTCACTTCCCCCTTTTCTATCCTACGGGTGCAGCCACTCCCCCTGAACCCCGTTTTCCCCCCCCTCCCCTATGCAAGCCCCTCCCTCTGAACCCAGGGCTCGCTACAATACTGTATACACATACACAACAACAAAAAACACTAGAGGGCAGGGCAACATACTTATAAACAATAAGCCCTGTCAATACTTCCCTCTCTACCCTTTTGGGTCTATAAGTGAGCTCATCCATGTGTTGCTTTTAAAAGGAGGAGGCTGGGTTGAAGTGGTTGATTTTGACATTGGGAGCAAGGTTGTAGAAGTCAGTCCCCTCTGGAAAAAATAGGGTGGCCTATGGGTGAGAGACAAAACATATATGCATGTTATGTACTATGTATGATACTGACATCCACCTGAAGCCTTCATTAGAACAAATGTCATGTTTTTAATGTTGTTTAATAGTCTGCAATAATCACTAATTTATTAGTGTCAAGATTGGGAAGTCACATAGTAATAAATGTAAATGTATTATTACCTCACTGAATTAGTAGTTTCTGCAGCAGCTCACTTTTCTCTGCAACACCATCTATAATTTGGTCACTATCCAGCATCTTCAAAACATCTGGTTGAGTAGCCATGAGCATAAAGGACTCCAGGTTCTGTTGAGAGAGCGAGCTCCTGAGCTTGTTTTTGATGAATTTTAGTGTTGAAAAGCTTCGCTCGCATGCTACCTGTGTGACAGACAGGGTAAGCAGGAACCTGTATGCAAGGCCAATGATGTGGTATGCATCTGTCAGGAGGTTGTACTGCTTAAGTATACGGTAGCAACACAATGGGCAGTCCTTGCAAGATGAGCACTTTTTATATACCATCTCCGCTTCATCTTCAGCATCCTCTGGCCCAGCCTCTGTTGTCTTGGTTGTGTATTCCTCAAATACAGATGTCTTCAACCTATTCCACTGTCCTGCCAGACTGATGAGCTCACTCTGTAATTTGGCCACCGTTGCTCTGTCATCAAATGGCAGCAAGCACTTGCTTAATTCTTGGAGTGCTGCCTCTGGGAAACCACCGGCATAAGATGTTACCTGGCTGAATCTTTTTGGGTCCAGAAGTGCCAAATCAGCATACAAAGTGCCATTTTTGAGGAAGCGCTGGTGCATGCTTCCTGTGACTGTGTCCATGATTTGATTATGGACATCAATCTTGTATGATGTTTCAGCATCAGTCACAGCCTCATCCTTGGACATCTCTCCAGGCATGGTTTTCTTCTTTCTACCCCGTTTCTGTGGCAGAGCGGCCTCAACCTCCAGCTCAGTCTCCTCACTCTGCTCCTCTGTTTGATTGTTGGCCCACTGGACGAATGTGGCGGCCGCCGTCTTGACTTTCTCGAAGTCTCTGGTCATATCTTTCAGCTGTGTTTCTGCAGCCACAATCATCCGATGAGCTGTCAGGATGTCCATTCCACTTTTCTGAAGGTATTTTGAGACTGGTGAGGTGACCTGGAAAATTCTCAGGAAGATCTGAGCTGTAAGTATTGTTTCATACCTCAGAAGCTGGGTGATGTATCCACGTGCATTGACCCGTGCAGTGGCGTTGATGGTCTGTCCATGTTGAATGGCGGAGAGGGTATGAAGGACATCAACATACAGGGCATTATCTGGCTTTCCAAAAGAGCCAAATACCTTAGTCACAGCAACGTCTTTGGACCACCAGCGTGTCTCTCCAATCGGGGCGAGACGTCTGTGTCTTGGGTCTTTGCTCTCCTTCTCCCAGATGTTCATCCTCTGGTAGGACACTCTGATGAAGACAGCGATGTTGTTCAACAGGGAAAAAAGAAACCCACTTGCCAATACACATTGTGTTGTGTCTGCCAGGACGAGGTTCAGGACGTGTGCGTAGCACCATACATGGACATGGGTGGGGGACATTTTGGCGAGCAGTGCAGAGAAGCCTTTATATTGGCCTTGCATATTGGAGGCCCCATCGGTGGAATCTCCAATACACTGCCTCACATCCAGTTTCATGGTCTCCAGTACTTCATTCACAACAAGTTGTGCAAAGTACTGCCCAGTGGATGCCTCACATTTAATCACAGCAACAAGTCGCTCATGAACAATGTCTGTCACATATCGTATGACAACAGAGCACTGATCTTGGGCTGTGATGTCCTGTGTGGTGTCAATCTGGACAGAATACATGCCAGATTCCCGGACTTCAGTGGCGATGGTGGCCTTCATTAGGCGTTGGATGGTGGTGATGATGTAGTTGATGGTTGTTTTGGATAGGAGAGTGACAAGGGAACCTCTACCTTGTCTTAAACCAGACTGGTGTATTTGCTTGCTCTTTTCTATACAGAGAGTGAGGTGTTCCTTG